GCCGGCGCTAATTGGGTTCTAGAGCTCTCGTCACCTCCCCGCGGGTCTCAAGTTTCTCGACTTGTGCCTTATGGTTGCCGGGCTTGCGGGGTATCAGGCACGCACCAGCAAAGACGACCAGATGGAAGTGGACTGGCTTTCAGCCGTGGCAGCCTCGGCAGAGAGGCAGTGCACATGGCACAGTGTGGCACAAAGGCAGCGCAACAGCCACGAGAGTGCCTTTGTAACAGGCCTTTTCAGAGTCCCTCTCGCTGCTTCCCTCAAGGTTTTCCAATTAGACACGTTGGTCTACCGACGCTAACAAAAAGTATGGCTGCCAGTTATGGCCGGTCATGACAGCTGCCTTCCTCTTTGTTCCAATATGTTGTTGAGCTGGCTGCAGAATTTCCAACCAGACGCACACCTCTAAGACTCGTGCCGGTGTCCTCAGCCATGTCTGGCCGAAGACGCGCATTGTGTCTGCTTGGCTGTTTCACTTGCAGCGTGGCCTACGATGAGGAAGTGGGCTTGGCCATGGCATATCTGGAGAAGGCAGTATATTGTGGCGAGAGGAGATTTACCGAATGGGACGTTGGCGAGTCGGTGGCTAAAGCACCAAAGGTCGATGTGAAGCAGCTGCGATGGGTGGCCAGCCCGAACACACAAGCAGCTGCAGGTGTTGGGAAGATGCTGGAGCCTAAAGGCTGTTTCGTTGCCGTTCGTGGAACGTTCGGGACAATCAGCTCTTTGTTGGATGCGGCCTTCTGGCTCACAGACTTCGAGCAGGGAGTTTGCCCCGGTTGCCAAGTTGTGCAAGGATTCCACTTAGCCTATCTGTCGATCAAGGACGGACTTTTCCGTGCCTTACAGGACTTTGGATGCCAACAAGAACCCCTCTACTTGGTGGGTCATTCGCAGGGTGCGGCATCTTTGTCTTACTTCATGTTCGATGCATTGGTCAAGAACTATACCGTGCAGCACATGTACGCCCTTGAGTCGCCACGTCCAGGCGGGAGGCATCAGAGTTTTGAGACAGACAGAGGCCCCGCTTGATTCTTTGGTGAGGGACTGTGTTGTTTTCAGATGTCGCCATGGCAGCAACCTCCAAGGCAATGCTTTGTTTGGGCAAGCTCTCCGGGCTCTACTTGGGAGCACTGATGCATGGCGCGTGGCGCACTACCAGGACTGAGCTGGAGCAAAGCTCCGAACTGGCGCTCTGAATTTTCTTTGTTGTCGACAAGCACGCCTGCCAGGACATAGTTGTTCACTTGCCACCACGAGGCACTTCTTGCAGAGTTCGGAGCCGGAAAGCATAGCAGTTGTGTCTGTGAGAGTACGGGAAGGTCCCGAGCTTTTCCAGCATGCGTTGCCAGATTCCTGTCTGCATCTTTGCGCTGTTTCGGTTGCAGGGCTCAGAAGATCGGGTCAGTTGCTGTCCTCGCTCTTCACACGGTTGTGCTACAATGTTGTCCAAGGAGATCTACTACGAAGCTCGGAAGGGCAGAGAGTTCAAGAAATGTGGCATAGAGGCCTCGCGTCTGGTCTCATCCCATCTGCTCCCTTGAGCTAGCTTGGAAAGAGAGTCTGCCGCCCTTCTTTCGTTTTTTTGTGCTTTCCCCGTGCAGGATGGCAGCTGCTCAAACCGTTGGTGGCCCTGGCAGCTGAAAGCCGTGACTTGTCAGAATCGGAAGTAAGCCCTAGCGACAGAGAAGAAGTGGCCCAGCCAAGGAAGATCACGACTGGTACGCAGACTTGAATCCCTGCAGCTGCGGCGCGAAGTCTGCAGAGGCAGGGAAGGCTGGGAAGCAGCGTCTAGCGAAACTTTCTGTGTGGGAAGTGTGCTGAGTGCGCTCAGGAACCTCAGGTTTTCGAGCGCTTCCTGCGCGAGGCAAGACGCTTCGCAGTGCCCGAGGTGCCCACACAGGAGAAGAGATGGGGACCTGAGCTTGGAGAGGGGCCGGGACAGCGGTACTTCGTTGCAGCTACTACGAAAACTCATGCTTCTATCATGGTTTGACAGGGAGCCGTTGCTTTTGAGTATGGGGAGTCTTTTGGCTAGAGTCGGCTAGAGGCGATGCTTTCCACGATCATCCTCATCTTTGCCTTATGCGGCAGACACGGCGCCCGATGCTGCAGAGGTTTCCACCAACGTCAAGCCCTCCTTACACAGGCAACCTTAGAAGCCTACTGCTTGCACGAGCCATTCTCACTTTTTCTCCTGATAGGCCACCCAATCCAAAAACAGAAAATAGGGAAGCGAACATTTCAAGTTGCACAAGCCTGTACTGTTGAGGAACCCTTTGCAATAGGCGGTATTGGTCAAGGGACGTGTGCTGCACTGAGCCAAGGCATCTTTTAAGAAGTAGGACTCGAGTGTGACCGGAGAAGATTGGCAGGAGTTCGATGCTGCGACTCAGTCTCTTGGACACGGGCCGCTTTATGCGTGAGTGATTGGGCACACGCATTGGGCGTGCTCTTTTTTGGGTCGCCATAGCTGCAAGTGATTTTGTCTCCTAGTGAGAGCAGGTCCATGTGCAAACTGTGCGAAAACGCCTCGATTGACGCAGCTCTGTCCTGCCATGTGGGCCTAATTTCATCTCAGCGGCAGAAGCTTGCCGGAAACTCGTTTCGTCGAAGGCACGTCTCACATCCGTACAGACCAACCTTCTCAGATCTCTGAGGGAACCAACAGGCCCAGAGCAGAACAAAACGCAAGGGTGATTCCCATGTGCTTGGCTTGCCAGTTTCATCGGATTGAACAGAACCTGCCCCGATGACAGACACAGGTGCAGACGGGCAGCAGCTCTGGACGCCTCTGCTCGAAAAGGCGTATGCCAAGGCAGGCCATTTGGCATTGGAGTCTGGGAGCTTTCAGAAGCGGTTTCTTGAGCGTACCACATCAGTGCTTGCGATAATATTTGCGGAGCATATTCAATAAAGGTGCCAGTGCAGTCTGCTAGGAGATCTGCGGCTTTGTGCCGAAACAGGGCTAGTTCAACTGCAGCAAGGGTTGCCCAGGTCGTATGCAAGGGCTTCAGAGCGCACGTCAGGGATGCACAGAAGGAGCGCAGAGAACGAGGTCTCGATCTCTCCCGTTCTCCCCTGTTCCTTGCTGAGGCTCATGGCTCGTATCGGGCGATCAGCGGTGGCGAGATCGCCGAGGCCTGGTCCCCGCATTGCCTGGCCGGCAGTTGCAGCCATGGCTGCCGAGAAGGGGATTTGCTCCCTGCGAAGGCACTCTTGGACCTCACCGGGTGCCCAACGGAGAGCATTGACTTCGATGAGCGCGGCACATGGCACCCATCGCTTTACCCTTTGTATTCCTGCGGCTTCTGGAGGCCAGGCTTTGATCCCCAGGAGCTGTGGGAGAGGCTTGTGGATTTCAAGGCTCGGGGCAGACTCGTGGGCTCTCCGGGCAACTCGCTTCGGTGCAGGCCAAAGGCTTTCCAATGGGCTGTGCCACTGCGGGAAATCCCGAGCTGCGGGAGGCAGTGAATCTCAAGCATGCATTGGCTTGTCTTGGTTTCGGGCACTGACCGTAGTTGGCCACGAGGTCGGGTTGTGCGGCAACCATGCTTACAGCGTGCTGGACGTCCGCGAGCTCTATGACCAACGTTTCATCGGCAGGGAGCGCTGCTGTCGGGTTGCCCAGTGTGGGAACCCGGCTATCCGACTGTCCTTTCTGAAGGAGTTCGGCTACGGAGGTGCGCAGCAGGCAAGGATGCTCCCTCTTGTCAGACCTTCTCCGACTTCGAGTGACCAGTGATGACCAGTGACAGCCAGTGACAACCAGTGCGCAGCAACAAGAAGCAGGCAAGTTTTGGCTCAGTGGCCGAGAAGCGGCGTAGCGGTAGTATGCGGCCGGCTTCATAGAAATGCCGACGCCTTCATATCCAGGCGGAAGCCTTGGTGATTTTGTAACTGCATTGGATCGCCGTTTCGAGCAGCACGAGGCACCGGTGCTACTGCCAGGGACGTTTCACTTTTAGCTTTAGGTCCTAGTCTTCGGCTGTTGGGCCGTTGGGCAGCTTGAAGCAGGCTTCCAGAGCCTGCACAGTAAGCCACGGCTGAGAATCAGTAGGCAAGGCGAGATAATACCAGAGTGGATGAAACCGCGATTATGGTGCTGTTCTCAAGGTAAAGTTGGTCTGACTCGGAATCTTTGGTCTGTGTCATTTTGCATTATACCTGGGCAAGGACTTCCTGCGCCAGCTGCTGCTTGACAGTAAATATGAGTCGCCGTCGTCACATTATATGGAATCTCAGCAGCATTCCTGCATGCCGTTTTGAGTCTGTGAGCCTGTGCATGTCCAAGATGCTGTTGGTGTCAGGATTCGGAGAAGACAACGCTCAGAATGCTATCAGGCAGGGTTGGATTAAGGCGAATGTCTTATTGTCCATGAGTCTGTTGTGGCGTCACGGGGCCATGCCGGACAAGAGAACTAGCAGGCACCGAGCAGAAGGTCTTGGATGAGCAAGACTCCAAGACCGACCTCGGCTACATCATGATGCAGCCGGAACTGGATTCCTGGAAGCGATATTCCCAGATGAGCCTAGATGCAAATCCAAACGCAGCCTGGTGTAAAAGTGTTGTTGTTTTGGGAGGACAGGCTCCATGCCGTCGGGGTTTGTCATGAGTTTGTCGTGTGCCCCTCAGGCGCCCGAGAAGGAGGCTTCCGCAAGTGGCTTCCTAGATATGTACAACAACTTTCTGTTAACCGACCGAGAGCCGCTGCCTCGTTTAAAAGCTTTCGTTTTGGGACCCTTGGACTGGTACATGGGTCTGGTGGTGGTCGTGAACGTTGTGCTGATGATCTGGCAGACAGAGCTCATGGGAGAGCGAGCAAAGGTTGGCTTAGGGCTCCAGGAGACATACACTGGCGGTCCTGACGATGTGATCGATGATTTGGAGTATGCGTTCTTTTCGATCTACTTGCTTGACGTTCTGATTCGAGTGATTACGCTGCGCTTGGAATGGATGTACCACCCCATCGACGGAGTAATGTACATGAACTTGATGGATGCTATCTTGGTGCTGATAAGTGCCATCGAGCTATTTCTGCTTCCAGCGTTGTCTTTGGTCGGTGACGAGACAGATCAGAGTGCCAGAGGCATTCGAATATTGAAGCTCATGCGAATCTTCAGAGCTCTGAGGATTGTTAAGACAGTGAACTTGTTCCACCCTCTGCGAGTCTTACTCAGTACATGCATTGCTAGCATTGGTGCCCTTTTCTGGTCGATGACCTTGATGTTGGTGTTGAAGCTGGGCTTTTCGCTGCTCATCTGCCAAGCCATCCACCCGTTCCTCTTGGATCCATCCCTAGACATCGCCGCGCGCCTGGAGATCTACGGCCTCTACGGCAATTTCTGGTATACCATGTACACGATGCCCTTCGGATGTCTAATTTAAGCTGTTGCTCTTGCTTTTTCTGTCTCCCAACGACTTGAGGGAAAGCTCCCACAACCCGATGCAAGCGTGCCAGGGCTTGCGAATCCCACCGACCCCAACTTGAAGACGATATCGTGGCTGCCAAACCTAGCGAAGACAGCAAAGGCCTGGAATTCCGCTGCGAAATGCTGCGAACAATGTGCACAGAATCAAAGGGACTTGGTTCGACTTAGACCCAATGAAAAGGAGGCGGTCAAGCTGCACCCTGTCGAGTGCAACATGCCTGAGACGGTTCCGCAATCGCTCCATTGCCTTCCATGTAAGTGCGGCGCCTCCTGTGAACTTTTGTTTTCGTGATGCCGCCCGTTGCGCAGCCCTCCGGCTGCTCGTGATACAACATGATGTGACCGCTGTGGAGAGTTTCGGTGCCCTGTGCCCGCAACCGCGTTTGCCACAAGCATCACTGTGGCACGTTCAGGGAAGTTGACTATTGTGGACAAGCCAAGCCAGACCCACAAGGATCCTGTGGGCAATTTTGGCGGAGTCTCCGGGCCAGACCCTACCGGGAGCTGAATTTGGCCGGTAGGCCGCCTGGTCCGCTTGTCGGTGTTGAAAGGTAGTGTTTCAGACCGCCATTAGAGAAAGAAACGGGGTCCCCATGATGCTCGCCTTCGGGCTTTTTGTCCGCGGCCTTGATGCTTCGTTGGCTTCTTAGAGCTCACGCCTGCTTGCAAACCAGATTGGTAAAGGTGTGGTTATTGTGCACAAGACACACCCCCGCATCCGTTACACGAGTTTACTACAGATACACAACAACCATGCATCAGCTGTCTTCAATTGTCTTCTTAAAATCTGTTCAATACTCGAGCACACAGATGTCCGGACTTGTTCTGTTGGTTTCCGCCTGGAACAACTTCGGCACCCCGGCAGTCCCAAGTCGAGACAACTTGACGTTCCAATAGTCAGTAGCTCAAGCCTTGATCTTCCCGCACTGACAGGGTTTCCGGCAGAACTTGCGCGGCTGCATGGGCTCGACTTGCCCAAACAGTCCAGGGCCAAAGGAAGGAAAGCCCGGTAAGCTGACGAGAATGTCGGAGATCCACTGAGGCGTGGTTTAAATGTCTCCGGGTGCCGAGAGGCAATCCTCTTGAGCGATATCTTCCGAACCAGCAGGATATGTCTTTGTGCCCATGTCTTGGATAGATCGTCCTTGCTTTATTGGCAAGTGGCAACACGACGGCAGGTTCTACTTGGTAGAAATACCCAACAAAGGCCAACAAGGCCCTTCTGAAATTAAGGGTGCCCCAGCCAGTTCTGGTACGTCCAACTGTAGGCAGTGATGCGAGCGCTTGGACACGCGTTGTACTGGCCTGCGACCCTGGTAAACGAACGGCCTTCCGCACTTAACGGCACCCGAATTGGCAAAACAGACATCTCGCCCCGTCCAGACAAACCGCGCTTCGGCGGCAGCCACCACAAACCATCATGACTTAGCCTCCCGATCAAGCCCTCAAAACAAACACTAATAATCAATAAACGCTTAAGTATTCGACGTCGTTTGCAGTCACAAGCTCGTCCCAAAACAACTAGGCATGGCACCCAAAACAGCCCTCTCAAACCCCACGGAGATCAGGCCTTGGACAATTGGTGACACACGCAAGGAACTGCCCTGAGGCGTTCCAGTTTCCATATTGCGCGTGTGCCTTGGGAGACCTACAAGCTCCCACTTTGCAGCGGCTAGCGGAGCATGGCGGACGCACGCTCGCACTGACCGAGCTAAAAGTGCATAGTCGGGAGTCATATTCGCAACGAATCCCGGTGCAATGTTTGTCGATAACACAAGTGGAATTTCAGGTGTCCAGTTTGTACAGAACAACATATGCTCTGAAGCCCATGATAGCAAGCATTCGACAGATGGTACCGCAGCGCGCTTGGGTCGAGTAAACAACAGTTGTGCGAGTAAACAAGACCCAAAGCGCACGGCAACCCGAGAGGCCGTAAAACTCCGGCATGTCGCCGTCACCATGTCTTACAGTCGCGACTGTTATGCATGTAAGTATGCGAGCCTCTGCTGGTGGCCGTGTCGCTTGTGGCCTTGTCCAGTTTTCGTCCCAACCCCTCCTCCCCAAGTACTGGTTTTGTTCCCAGGTATTTGCATCATGAACGTGTTTCCGAGTTCCTGCTACTCAAGTTTCGATCATATCTTAATATGCATCGGTCGTCTTTAAGATTTCTTCATTCAAGCCCATCTCTGCATGCATTTGTAGCACCATCCTTGGCTCGTTGTCTTCAACGTGAGAGCGTGTTACGGTGCTCCCGAGAACTTCCCCGCCACCGCAGTGTAACTCGCCGACAACTTTCCCCTCAGGTTTGAGATTACGCACAGTGGTGGATGGCCACTTCTCGTGAGGCCCGTCCTGGAAAAGCTTGGTTGGGGCTTTTCAATCCCATTTCTGATATATGTAACTTTGGTGATTTTCGCAGTTATTCGTATCGTGACGGCCCTGTTCTTGAAAGAAACGCTCACATGTGCTGACGATGATGCCGCAGTGGCACTGAAAGAGAAGTCCCGGAGAACGCGCGTGTACAAAGAGAAGCTCCGCGAAGTATTCCTGGCAGCAGACAAAGATGGAGATGGAAATCTTACTCCAGAAGAATTCTTTGCCACGCTTGGTCTTCCAAAGGTTCGAAGTTATTTGAGTTTGTTGGAAGTCAACATTAAAGACTGTGATCCGCTCTTCGAGATCCTGGATGATGGCGGCGATGGCGTCATCACAATTGAGGAATTTTGCAAGGGCATCCTCCACTTGAAAGGCAGGAACGTGCGTTGCAAAGGATGTTTCGAGTGCATCTGGATGTTGTTCCATGTAGAGCGTCACGAGCTAAGTCCTCGTGCTGACTTGTCGCCCGCAAGCCAGGCCAAGCCAGTGCATTGGACATCATTATGCTGCAGAGGGAGAATCGCAGGATTCAGATAGCATGTCATGAGATTCGACGCACGCTCAAGAACGTCGTCAAGGCCCCTGCCTTTCTGATAGTGCTTTCCGTTGGGTTTGAGATGGATCCGTCTGTGCCGTCAGGTGTCGTTACAAAATACAGCGCTCTGGCGCAGAGGGCGTAGTTACCCACATTCGAAATGTTAATCTGCAGGAAAGTCTGGCCTGTTCGCGGAACATCGGTGCATGTCGACCTCTTGTTTTTGTATTGGAAGCCCAAAGCCAAAGCATCCCCTGGCCCTAAAGGGTTGTCGGCTGACGGTTTCTGAATTTTGAGGAGGTTGGAAGGAGCGACTACTTGGGCACAGCACACAAGACTTCCGGTGCACAGAAGAAGTTGATGCGCCAAGGAGGGCCCATGGCCCATGCATGAAATGTATGATGCTCCAGGGTCCTAGGTTTTTGTAACTTTGTCAACGACTTCATGCATGATTCGTTGTCGCCCATGCAGTCATGCAGTCATCCCACGTGGTAGGTGTTGCTGTCTGCACTGCGCCACTAGTGGTTCAACTGGACGGCTGCCTTTGCTATTGGGGCGAGACTAGAGAAGCCGCCCTCTGCACGATCCAGGTGCTCCAGGTGCCGACGAACGCAGAGCAAACACGGTGCGCTCCTCAGCAATCTGGACAGGGAAAGCACCCGCAGAATCCCAAGAAAGAGTAGAAGAGAAACAGAACTCAGCTGTTGAGCGACTTTCAGGCCGGCGCACGGTCAATGAGGAAATGGTTCTGCATCCCGGAGTTGCTTGGTCTCCAAGGCTTTACAGCAGCATGTGCAGCCAGCACGGGACTGTGCAGTTTTGTGTTCAGTGCGGGCATTGAGGTCATGCTACTTGGCTGTCTCGAGCTTCTGAGCCTTCCCAGCAGATGGCTCGCTTCGACTTTTGTCATGGCCTGACGGTCGAAATCCGTTCAACAGGCCATGTAGGCAAGATGCTCAAGTTCTACAGCTGCCGAATGGCATTGTAGAGTGATTTGGGAGATTTGCGCAGCTCGATTGATGATCGCAAGCCGCGCTGTACAGGCTTATGAGCTTATGCTTCAAGTCAAAGAGCATGTCTTTCATGCACGCCGCAGACCTCACATGAGCAGCAACCGTGCACGGGTCCAGGATGGGCTTGTTCGATTGCTTCGCATACGAAATCCTCACGGCGTGGGCTCGCGACTCAGGCCAGAGGCAAGGCCTTGGCAAGGCTTTGGCAAGCGCCTTCAGGGCCTTTCATCTCGGACTCAGGCGAGTGGAACGGCGAATGGAGCCACTGCCTCGCTCGTCCAATCTCCTTGAAAAATCCTTGGAAGCTCGAGGTGACAAATCCGCAGAATGGACTGAGGGACTCTCGAGCAGCTTGGCTGACTTGGTCCAGGCTGTCTCCGTCATTTGCGCAGCTCTGCAAGGCGAGCTGGGATGCACTGGCGCCAGCACCCCAATGGCTCACAGGTTCAAGGTAGTCACTGGTATTCAATGACAGCCCTCGCAGCTCGTCGCTGGCAACGGGCATGGACTAGATGCTCCTTTTGTCAGGTTGACGACGGCACGTTCTGGATGGACTACACCCACTTCCTGATGGGATTTCAGGCCGGCCTGGTGGGAGATTCAACAGGTTTCCAGGTGTTTCCAGCATTGCTGCGGCGGGCTTCAGCGGAACACCACAACGCAGTAAATTGTAAGCGAAGGTTTGACATTGCCTTAGACTGTCGAGACTTCGCAAGGTGGTCGATGTTTGCTGGGCCCTGAGCCTGGCAGAGAGAAGCCGTGTGTTGCCCAACAGGCAGGAAGGCTTATCATCTCCCCCTGCCCCGATCCGAGGAGACACCAAGCCATGGAACATGAAAGGGTAGTAGACATGGGACATATGGGACCTGACATGGCTTATTCATTTGCCACAAAAGGGTTCTTCCGCATCCTGGAATCCAGGCCTGGCTCATCGCGGCTGGCATGCTGCGAGCTTCCCCAACACTTTCTGCGCAAAGTCTTCTGGAAGTCGGATATGCAAGGACCGGCGGGATTCCAGGATTTGAAAGATTGACGGGAGCTTGTTCCATCCCATCCCTCGTATTCAGCGCATGCACATCCGCTTCCAGTACTTCTACGAGCTGCACTGTGATGCAGCCACAACTCTCTATGCCATGGCATTGCAGCCGACGAAGCGAGGCCTGCCTGGCATGAAGGGCAGTGTCCGGCTGCATGTTTCCTTTCTTGAGCGCGGGGGCCCAGTGGTGCAAGGCTCCTGGTGCAGAGAAGATCGCAAAAAAAGCTACAAGCCAGGCCGGAATCTGCTGTTCATGCTTTCGGATCAATTTCCAGTGAGCGGGAGGGAGCCACTAGATAAATGTAGGCTGCTATCTTTGCAGGTGACATCAGTTTGCTGGTGCTCCGGATCAGCCATGACCCAAGTAAAGTACTTTTGCGTTCCGCTCTGCACAGTAGTCTGACGACGCTTTTTCCCGGTATTCTCTCATATTTTTGCTGGATGGGAGGGACGGTCGGAGCGTCAACTGATTGTGCTGTGAATGCTGCGGCATTTGTCAAGCTGCCGGTGTTTCCGTGTACCGTCTGCAACGGTGCGATGCTGCGGCCACTTGGTATCATGGTCGTTCCATTGCAATGCAAACCTAAAGGCTGGGAGGTGTTGTCTTGACAAGCAACCAGCTTCGAGCAACCCGAGTACTGCGAGGGTCCAGCGTCTTTAAATCTGAAAACTGTTTCTAAGCAGTTTTGCGCTCAGTAGTCCTTGAAGTTTCCTCCACTTTTACAGCACAGCCCTGCGCGACACAGAGCCAAGGTTGTGGTTGATCGCGCTGCCCAGGTGCGCAGACTGATGCTGACTGAGATCACAAGTTCCGGCATTCAAGTGTTGCTCATGTTTGTGAGAGTACGAAAGTCCACTCTCAAAAAAAGCTCCGTGAGTGCTATTCGCAGGATACTGGCTGTATCCACGACCTCTTGCCCGTCCTGCAGTACCCGTGCGCAAGATCATGTTCTGCTGCAGCATGGGCGGGCTGCGCTGAACCGTGCAAGCGCTCTCAGCAAGGGCGTGCAGGACTTCCGAGGAGGAGCATAGGTTCAGCACAGGCAATATGCTTGTAGCCAGGAGCCGGCTGTGCCAGACTCAGAATTTCCTGACACGATCTTCTTCGATGCGGTGCTCCGGGACTTCAAGGCTGACCACCCGGACTTCCAGCTGCTCAGCAGACTCCTTGCTAGTGACGAGGGTATGGGAAGTATGGGAAGTATGGGATGCACGATGCAAGATGTGTCTGAAGCATCTTCTGCTAAGGTCGATGGATGGGCACAGTGAAGGCCTGGTGGAAGACACCCTCGGTCCGGACAAGAAGCCAGTCTACAAGGGCGGACTCCAGCTGTCGAACAAGTCGAACTTCGATCAGTGGTTTCGCGATGTTCCTGGGGTGAATCAGCGGATCGAGTTCAAGCTCGACTTGAACAAGAGTGACACGGGAACGTACGTGCATGACGATCCGAACTTTTTCCCTGTGGATGGCCAGGGGTGGAAGGACCTGTGAATCTTCTTAGCATCGATTGCTTAGGGGAGGTGGGTCAGACACTACCCTTCACCTCAGATTCACGCACGGCCATGTTGCACGGAGGCTTAGTCTGAATGGTACCCCCATCATCCACGGAGACATGGGCCTCACAGAATAAGTGGGCCTGTCGCATGCGAGAGGACAGTGCAATTGCGCTCGATGGCCTGGAACACAATTTCTATTTCACCCTCGAGTTGCATACTACGTTCGTGTACACGAGCCAGGGGCCTGTCTGTGTTCGATGGCAATAAATCGAGTGCGTTGAAGGGTCAGTGCGAGTCAGTGCAGTGTAATTCATCAGATGAATGATCTAGTGACTAGTGGCTTTCGAAGGTGGTGATCAGTTTACATTTCGGGGAGATGATGATGTTTGGGTCTTCATGCACCCCGGCTGCAAAGCGACGGGTGTGCTTTTGCGGTTTTGCTTACCTGTTGTGTTGCATGCATGCAGCGAGGAACGATCGTCTTGTCATTGACTTGGGTGGTGTGCACAATCCCATGGAGAAGACCTTCGACTTGGATAGCCTGAACCTGACTGAGGCGAGGAGTTTGGCTAGTGTCGAAGTATCTCAGTCAGCCTCAACCTGGATGTGTTGGAACTCCGTCCAGGGTTCTGCGGTCTCCTTGAGCTTCTTCTTCGCAGAGAGACGGTGTTGTGGCTCCGAGTTTCGCGTGGAGACCAGCATTGTGCCGGTGAAGGGCTCCTGCACGATCTGGGGTGATCCGCATATCTCCGTGTTTGACAGTGGTTTGTTCGGCGCAGATGAGTCGGATCCGGTCTCGATCTTGACCAGTGGCGACTACTGGTTGGTGAAGAACCAAGATATTTGCATCCAAGGTGCTCGGCATTGCTTTGCTTGAGTTGATCTCAGTTTGTCTGTACGAGGCCGAGCAAACAATAACAACAGACGCCCGCTGGGTCGGTGAGGAGGGTGAGGGTCCCCATCGCAGCTGACGGACGTACACTCGTATCGCAGAAGGTGGGCAAATCATCCAAGAAAGGCCCATAGGCAGGGGTGCGTGACCGATGCTTCGATTCGCTTCTGTGCGCCGAAACGCGATCCACTGAGACATCGTATCCCGGACTTTGAGCACCGAGTTTCGACGCCCTACCTCATCCTCGAACAAAAGCGCAGCCGTGCTCGTACTGATCCGAGGGTTCTTGTGCGGGGGTTGTGGCTTTGAATACCAACACGTGAAGCTGAGCATCTAGCCAGTAGGCAGGTTCATGGAGAGGGGTCCGAGGTTCGGGAATGGTGCTGAGCTGCCAGCCCGAACTATGATGGCGGCAGAGTGGGAAGGGTTGCAGCAGGGATCCGCACCCTCTCTGAGAGCTAGGGGCCCAAACTGCAGTTGCTAAGCACTTGAACTTTCTACGTGCTATGCTCGAAGGCCGGTATGGTACAACCAAGTTCACTGTCGCCGGCCAGTCTGCTCTTCTTGAGCTGGCAGTCAGTGGCCCGTTTGTGCGCAACGAGACCCTCATCATTCAGCCAATGAATGGCCAGGTTACCTGGGATGGTGCCACCATTTTGAAGCACATTCCCTCCGAGTTTGTAAAACCCTTCAGCCGAATAAAGTTTATCGATGGAGATGAGCACATCGACGAAGTTCTGAAAGGTTATCCAGTGAAGCTGATTCGCGCGTTTTTCGTCCGCAATGTGGAGATTCTGGTAAACCGCTGGCCAGAACACATTGATGCCATCATCCGCATGCCGCAGCAGCTCTACGGCCAGGCGGCTGCACCCTCGCACACACCTTGCAATATTATTTGTATATATATATGCTCGCCCCCCCCCCCCCCCCCCC